CGCAGATTGTTGCCAAGCTTACATCCTTCACTTTCTTCAACGATATCGTTTCCGTTGCCTTGCTCCTCCACGTCATCAATAATCTCTGCAATGTTGTCGCAATTTTTTACTGTTATTTCTTGAAGTTGAAGCTGTCTGGCCATGGAGAAGGAGAACAGATTCTTCAATTGATAACAACGAAAAACGGTTATCTTGCTTAATACTTTAAAAGGTGCTGCTCCAGTCAGACCATGACATATCTTCTCCATTTTTGGCAAATTGGAAAGGGTCAATACCTCCAACATGGGAAATACCTGGGAATGAATCAACCTCCTTGCCGGGTTAAAGATGCCTCGAATGTCTGGAGCATTTTGGACATGGAGACACTTCAGATGTTGAAAACCTTCATCATCTAACTCATCAACTAAACCCTGGACACCCTCTAGATACAGTTCTTCTGTCTTGTTCAGCAACTTTTTAACAGAGTCATTAGATTCAGTGCTTGCACCCTGCAGCTTTAGCTTCATTACTTTTGAGCTTTCAAAAGAGCTGTTCCAGGAGTAACTGTCCCAATAGTAATCCTCCCAAGACTTCCTCCTGCTCGCTATTCCTATGAAAATCTTGAACCTTTTCAAATTTTCAGGAAACAAAATTTCTCGGAAATTAGGAATACGTACCTCTAAAGCAGTGAGCATATGCAACTCTGTTAACTCAGCAAGCCCAGCATTTCTTCCCTCCACATCATCCCATTGGTCAAAGCTGTTTCCCATTTTTAGCTCTTCCAATTTAGACAATCTTGCTAGGACTTGTCGTGGAATTACTTTCAGTTTGGTGCAGTCACTCAAATCTAACAACTTCAGCTTGGTTAGCTTCTCCATTTCTCTTGGCAACTCTTCAATAGCACAACCTGCAAGGCTAAGGACTTCTAAATTCTCCAGATTTCCCACACTAGCGCCTAGGGCTTCGACTCTAAACACACATTGATCCAAAAGTAATGTTCGAAGCATTGTTGGGATCAGGGGAATTTCTGAGGGCATTGACTGAAAATCAATTCTAGTCAAACATAAGACTTTGAGCACATCTGTTCCAGTGAACAAATCAGTTGGAACTGCCAGAGAACAACCCTTGTTAGACAAATGAAAGAAAGTGAGCTGCGGACAGTTCAACCCATTGCTTGTGAGCTCAGGATAGCCATTTGACAAATAAATCCACTTCAAAATTTTCATTGTCTCCTTTTCTGGCCAGTCTTTTCCTCCATCTTCATCTACTAAAGCCAATACACCATGTTCCCTAGAAGCAATTGACAGGGCAACCTCCCGAATCTGGTCGTGCATACCGAAATGCATATTGCTGTGACCATCAACCAACAAAGAAGAGATTTTGAGACTGTGAACCAGTGTCAGTACTTTGTCTCGTGTCTCTTCCACTGTTTTCGCCTTTCGAAATAAAGTCAAGCCCATACCATATTTTAACAAGTCATTGATGGAAGAGTCATGGCCCAGCAAGCTACAAAGCATGAACGTTTGCTTGAGTTCATCTCCTTGTAAGTACTTGTAGGACAACTCTATAGGCTTATAAACAGCTGCAGATATCCCTTCTGGAGTAGGGCTTTTCAATTCCATAAGAGCAGTTTTCCACTCATGTTGCCGAGTCTTACCTTTCATGGCCTTTCCAACTGATGCAATAGCAACGGGCAACCCGAGACATTTCTCAACGATCTCTTTAGCTATCGGTTGAAAATCAGAGCTTTCAACTTCGCTGCCAACAATCTTCTTGAATAGATGCCATGCTTCATCATCTTCTAATTCATGTACCTTAACGACCGGATCTTTCTCTTCCATCATACCAGAGAGAACATTCGGATCTCTTGAGGTTAGTAGAATCTTGCGGAGCATATCTTCTTGTCCAGATGAGTGTTCTTCACTCCTTTTCTCCATAGCCTGCTTCAGCTCACTTGCAGAAGGGATCCCGAATTTCTCGAAGTCTGTTTTAGTATCCCATACATCATCCAAAATAACAAGAAATTTCCCCTCTTTCATCAGCTTTGCCTTTATTAAATCTGCAACTTGCCGATCGGTACGCTCTCTGAAAGAAAGCTGATCGAAACCCAAGTCGCGTGCAATGTCTTCTTGAATGCTTTTCAAATCCCGATTCTTTGTCACTGTAGCCATAACTACCACAGTAAACAAGCTATCTTGCTTGGCTTTTGCTTTAACCATTTTTACCAGCATCGTCTTCCCCACGCCAGAAGTCCCATGCACTCCGATCGTGTTGACGATTGGATTTCTTGCTGCCTTCATGATCTGCTCCAAAACAGCCATTCTAGAGGGAAACTCCTCAAAACCTTCGACAACACCAGCCACGTCCTGTTGTGGAGGAGGAGCGTGGGAAAATGGAATGTTGAATCTATGAGCTTCCCGCACATGTTTTGCAATATCCCTCCTAATCTGCGCTGCTTTCTTGCTGAGCTCGTAACGAGGCCGGGGATTGGGACACAGCCGAAAGAAACACTCATTCTTGGCAAATTCATCACCAACTCGTACAGGTTCCTCTGCTGCTTTGATGAGTTCTTCAGCTT